TTTTGCAGTGTACCTGGTGCATGCAAGGGCTGCTGAGGGGTGAGACTCCAGCTGGGAATGTCAGGCTCGGGGTCTGGGTCAGCATCTAGCTGGAAGATGAAAGGAAAAGGCTTGTCAGGGTGACATAAAAGCCACCTTGATGGCTTGCCACCAAGCAGATGGCTCTGCCCTGCTGTCTGGCAGGCAAATAGTAGCACCACAGCCCCAGCCCTTCATAAGCAAGACCAGTTTCCCTTGAGGAGGCTGTGCTTCCCTGTGATATCCCTCCACTGAGTTTGCAAAACCAGGTGAAAAAGTCAGGGTCAGACCCCATCAAGGGTGAGGATGTTTCAAACCTCATTCCCTCCTCAGCTGCAGAGCCTGATCTGATCCAGCAGACAGCTCCTGGCTTCGGGCACTCTCTGCTCCTCCCCAGCTCCCACATTCTGCCCATCAGCATCTGCTGCTCCCCAGAGCAGCAGTGCCCAGTGCCATCCCCTCCTCCCCAGGCATACCCACGTCTGTCAGCAAAACCCTTTTGCAGAGCTGGAAGTCAGGGCACAATAACTTCACTGCAGGGATGTTTCAAGGAGGTTTATGACTTCATGTAATGACTAGTGTTCAGCATACCTCCCCCCTCCAGGCCAGATGGCTTTGCACATCACACTACAGGCCATCACCTCAGTCCTGCCACTTCCCACCTATGATGTGCTGCTTGTCCTGCTGCTCTCCATCGGCAGGGAATGGTGGGCTTCCTGACTGGAAACTCATCCTCACACCCACCCAGCCCCTCGCAGGCTGAGAGGGTCAGGAGCAATCCAGGGGACTTCTGGCAGGTGTGGGTTGAGAGGAGAGGGAGATGGCTGCAAACAGAAGAGCTTTGGGAGCTTGCTTGAGGACACTGGGCAGCTAAAGCTAAACCATCAGCCAAAAGAGGTGCCTGCACGGGGAGCACAGATGTCTGCAGCCATTCCTGTCACAGCAAGAGCTGTCCTTCCAGTTCCAGCCTGGCTTCTTGAGAAACGCCTCTGCTCTCTCCCTGTGCCAAGAGTGATACCTGCTTCCATGCAATGCTTTCCACTAGTATCCTATTCACACATGGAGATCCCGAGGCACGGGGTGGGATGGAACTTGCCCAAGAGCATGCAATAAGCTGAATGTGCCTCTTGTTTTTCAGATCAGCAATGTAAGCTTCTTCATCCTTTCTCCTGTCCTGCTCTACCTGAACCGGCAGTACCGTCAGCAGCGTGCCTTGCCCTTGTATTTCGTCTCTGGCCTGCTCTTGTGTGTAGGTGGGTGCCAAGGTTGTGAGAAGACCAGACAGGTTGCCAGAGTACCTGACTGTTCATTCATGACACCTCTGGAGGCTGGTTCTTAGTGGCCAAAGGACAGGGGCGAGATGGAGTAGGGAACCGAACTGCTTGAAGCCCTGCAGCTCGTGGGTCCTGCTGTGGGTGCACAGCTTCCAGCACAGTAAACCCCCGTGGCGCTGTGTGCACTGACTCACTCAGGCCTCCATTAACACCAAGGTCCATGCCCTGCTCTTCAGGAAAGGTGTGTCTTTAGGAATGGCCCCCAAGAGCTTCCCAGGCCAGACAGGCTCACGCGAGGATGGAGCTTTGCTGACACAAGCTGTCCTTTGCTCTTGCAGGAGTCTTCTCCACGTACTTTCACATGACCCTGAGCTACGTGGGACAACTCTTGGATGAGCTCTCCATCCTCTGGACGCTGGCTGTGTCATATGCCATTTGGTACCCGAGGGTTTACTTCCCCAGGTGCATCAAGAGCAGGTATGACTCTGAGGGATGAAGGCTTGCAGGCTCTGAGGGATAGAGCATTGACATTGATGCCTGTGACCCACAGCCAGCTCCCCTGCAAGGGGTCAGCACTGAGGCTACCGCAGTTGCTTTGGGATCAGACCCTCCATCACGCAGCGGTGGATGTGCTGACAGGGGGAGAGTAAGAAACCCTCCCCTGGGGAAGGGCTGTGCTGAGCTCCTGTTGACTGGAGCTGTTCGTCTTTGCGAAGCTGCAGAGGAAGCTTTGCATGGAGAATTTCAACATTCATTAGGAATTTCTGAGCACTTCCAGTCAGTGCTGTCCAACTGTTACAGCACCCCTGCCATCCACAGAGAGCTTTCCCTGAGGGCTGAAGGGGTTTCCCATAGGACAAGCTGGTGCAAGTTAACACCCCACGTGTCACAGGTTGTTTGCAGGAGGGCTGGCTAGGCAAGGGGAGCCCAGCAGGAAGGATGGGGACACTGGGTGAGCACAGATCAGCAGGACACAACCCAGCCTTGCAAAGACGTGCTCCAGCCTGCTCTTCCCATGCCAAAGAGGAGGTCACCAGGAGTTCACTGTGGAGACATGGTTGGGGGAGAAGGGAAGGAACTTGGGAAGGGATTTGCATGTGAAAGGCCCCTCTGAGTCCTATTGTTGCTCAGCCAGCCCAGTTCTGCATGTTTCCAGCTCAGGCCCCTGCCCAGCACTGCTGGGGCTCCTACCTCACTGCCCGTCCCTGGGCGAAGCTCCCGGTGCCTTGGCCTCTCAATGGTTATCTCTGGCATCACCATGGAAGTGCACAAGTTACCTTCAGGGCCATGTTGCCCACTCTGTCATGGACTAACTGGGGCGGTTTGGGCAAAGCACAGCTACAGACAACTCAGCCTTCCTGCCAGGACTACCGCAGAGGCTGGGGTCAGCCATGTGCAAACAGATTGGAGGTGATGGAGAAGGTTTCCTCTCTCAGGCTATAAGCAGGACCTCTCGTGTCCTTATCCTTCCACACTGGGAAGCCTGGGGACACTGACACTCCATCCCAACTCCCCCACTCTCTTTAGGAAGCATTTCTTCTGGTTGAGTGGCATCACCACCGTGATCAGTACCTTCATGTCCTTCATCAAACCAGCCTTCAATGCCTATGCACTCAACTGCATCGCCTTCCACCTGCTGTACCTGACACGGCGTGAGCTGAAAAAGTAAGGAGTGGGCTGGGGTAGGTTATCTGCAGGCCCATCACATCTCCTGCCAGGCTCACATGAGGCAGTGACTCTGTGCACAGTGCTGAATCCAGCCCAAGATTTCATCACATGTTCAAGCATCAAGCACATGTGCTATCAGCAAAGAACTGGGGCAGCCTGGGTGGGACCAGGACGAGGCACAAGTGGGGCTGTGGGCAGTGGGATACCAGAAAGCCATCTGGTCTGGGTACTACACAGAATGGGGACAGTCTATGGGATGAGTGCATCTTCTCCCCAGCTGCCATCTCTGCAGCTTTTTCCCCTTTGTGGAGCATTTGGGAAGCAGTGGGGTTGCTAGAACCTGCCAGGATGAGGAGGAAGATAGGAGTGGCATCTCCCAGCATCATCCTCACCCACAGAAAGTCAGAATCCCTCTCAACAGAGCCACGCTTCTTGTGGTCTGATGAATATTCTCCCAGACAAACTCCCTGGGGTTTGCCCTGACACATCAGCATGTGCAGGCAGGAACCAGTCCTCTTTAAGACTCTCTTTCCTTCCACCATGATACTCTGCATCCCCTCCCTCCCTGTGTCTTCCAGGTGCAATGACAAAAGGGTTCACCAGATGGCCAAGGTCATGGTCATGTGGTGGGTACTGGCCATCGGCAGCTGGATCAGCGACCGGTGGCTCTGTGGGCTCTGGCAGGCCATCAACTTCCCCTACTTCCACAGCTTCTGGTAAGGGCTCCAGTGCAGAGGCAAGAACCCCAGGCCAAACATTTCATGGGCTGAAGGGCCATTGCTAAGGGGAAAGAGCAGCAGGGATGAGATACTTGATCAGAGAGCAGCCTCTGCCCAACCTTCTCCCCCTTTCCTTTGTCACTACTGATGCTGCTCCTCACCCTGGCCCCGGCCCAAGGATTTGGTCCTAATTACTGCTTGCCATCCCTTTCCTCCTCCACACCAGCCAAACGGGGTTTTGCAAGTGTAATTGTTCTGCAAGTCCCTCCAGGTAAACAGCTTGCATCTGCTCCCTGGAAGCTGCATGAGGTGCAGTGTTCTTGGAGTTATTTTAATAGCCAAACTGAAAGACACTGATTTGTTTGGGCAAGACACTTCAGCGCCTGGCCAAGTGTGGCTCTAAGTGCTGCACACAGTGTATGTTCTCAGATTCATCCTCACAGAGCATTGGGATGACAGGGGCAGATACCTAGCGCTGGTGGTACCCACAGGCAAGGTGGGATGGGCGCTTTGGGTTGGGGCTTAAGTCCCCTGTATCACCCATTCACTCTGCACAAGGACCCGCCCCCACCAAAGCTCAAAGAGCTCTTCTAGGACCCACTTTCCCTGCAGCCTACATGCATCACAGGGCTGGGGCCTTTACCTGCCATTGCCATACCCCTTGGCTCTAGCCTCATGGTGCCAATGCCAGCCACACCCTGGTGCAAGGTACAGGAGGAGCAGATGAAGTTGCCACCACCCAACAAATATCTTTCTTGTTTCCTTTCCAGGCATGTGCTGATAGCCATGTCCCTCCTATACTGCTGCCCGCTGGTCATCTATTTTGACGTCAACTACGAGATGCCAAAGTTCAAGCCAAAGATAGGATATTGGCCCAGCGACTCTTCGCCTGTCGTGGTGCCTTACATTATCCTGGAGGAAGCCCACAAGCAGTGCTAGAGCTTGTGGCATCCCTCAGGCATTCCTCGGGCATGGGGTGAGTGATGCACACATGTGCATCTGCATGGGGAACACCTCGGCTCTGTGCCTGCTCCTCGGCCAAGGGCAATGTGGCTAACGATGGGGCAGGGAGCTGCTGAGACCTCGTGGTGCCAGGCGTGGAGCAGGAGGGGAGCCCATGGATGCCTTGGAAGACTCTGCCCAGGCTGGCTCCAGGGAACCAGAGATCTCCTCCTCCAACAGATCCCCACTGAGAAGGGGAGGGAGATGGTGCTTCTGTGTCTTCTGCATTAGTCAAGCGGTGGCACCCTTTGCTGACAAGGGCAGAGTGGAGAACACAGAAGCCAAACTGGTGACAGCTGGGTTTGTTGGGGCTGCTCTCATTATTATTATTAATTCTATTTATTGATGTATGTGGTCTTGCTCAGGAGAGCTGTGCATTAAAGCTATGGACACGGACTTGCACGGAGCCCCTTTCTTCCCCCTGACTGCACCACATCCCCTGTTAGCAGCCAGTCCTCCCCAAAACAGGGTGGACAAAGCTCTCTCTGACCCACGCAGAGACATTCATAGAGAAATCCTCCTGTGTGACAGCCCAAAAGAAGCTCTGCTGGCCCAGGTCCTGCGGTGTTCTACCCCGTCTTCCACCTGCAGTGTTCCTACCCAGCTCTGCTCCAATGGCCATGTGCAACCTGGAGCCTCCTCTGCTTGCTGAAAGGCTGGTGGCAGAGACACACTCTTGCTCTCCAGGCCTTGCTGCATGACATGTCATGAGGCTGGGTCCTCTGAAGAGGCTGGCAGAGTGGCTGTGGTTTCCTCCCTGCGATGCAGCCAGAACAAGGTAACATCACTCCAGGGCCCACAGGCTTTTTGGGTCCCCGTGTGTAAAGTTACTGTGTTCAGTTTTGGTCCTCACTATACAGAAAAGGACGTGGATAGCCTGGAAAGGGTCCACAGAAGGGCCATAAAGATGATCCAAGGGCTGGGAAGCCATGAAAGGCTGAAAGAGCTGGGACTGTTCAGCCTGGAGAAAAAAAAGGCTGAAACCTTCTCACCATGTTTGGTATTTAAAGGGTGGTTACAAAAAAGATGGAGGCTCCCTTTTTACAAGGAGTCCCACGTTAAAGATGAGGGGTGACGGGCACAAGTTACTCCTGGGGAGATTGCCCACAAGAGAAAAGCTTTCCACCATGAGAATAATGAGCCACTGGAATAATCTCCCCAGGGAAGTGGTGGATTCCCCAACACCGGACACTGTTAAGATTCAGCTGGACAGGGTGCTGGGACATCCAGGTTTAGTCATGGAAAGCTTGGACCAGATGATCCTCGAGGTCTCTTCCAACCTGGTATTCTATGATTCTATGAGTAAAGTAAAACCAGAAGCACTCTGGGCTTAACCTCTGAGGCACAAGATGCTGTGCAGGTGCCACACAGCACCCATGCAGTGGCCCTGCTGCCTCGTGGGTCCCTCTGCAATGGTCCCCAGAGCCACTAGATGGCAAATTTGGCTCATGAACCCCATCTTGGGGAAAGGGATGCCTTGTGCAAGGACTGAACCCCCAGGTCCCTCTGCTTTCTCCAGCCTCCAGCACCGGGGTCCGACACCTTTACTCCAGCATGGCCACTGATGAGACACCTCAGAAGGTGCAGGAAAAGGGGGAACTCGGACCTCCAGCCTTTTTCTGCCACTGCCACCCATGCTGGTGCCCATCTCTCCACCTCTTTGTCTGCCCTGCGCGCTGTCACTCTTGCCTCTCCCCTCATCACCCCGTCTCCCTTTCGCTGTTTCACTCCCTCTCGCTCTCCCCCCTCCTCACCCCTTCCCCAGCCCATCACATTCTTCTACAGCCTATTAATAACTTCTGGGCAATTGCACCGGGTCCCCGCTGGGCTCAGCCCCTCGCTCGGCTCCGTCCCGCACAGCCACTGAGCGCGCCGGCAGCAAGTTCAAAAGTGCAGCGGGGCTTTCACAGCCCCTCTCCCCGTCAGGGGGTGGAGGAGGCCGCTCGCAAAGAAAGGCTGCGTTGCCAGGGAGCCTGGCACAGGAAAAGGGGGTCACCTTCACCTCCGACAGCACCGCTGGCGATGGACAGGAGCCAGCAGCCCCGCGGGATGGGGATGCTGAGAGAGTCACGCAGGGATGGCGGATGAGGCATGGGCGAGGAGGGCTAATTGGCTGCCTCTGGCCATGGAACTGGTGGGATGCTCGGTACAGAAAGCCCAGCAGCACAATCCCCTGTGCACTATGGTAATAAGGGAGGTGTCCCCGGCGCCGCCGCCTTGAGAACAATGTTGCTGCAGTTGAGTGACTGTAACAGGCCCCGATGACAGCCGGGGCCGTGTTAAAAATGCCTATTCAAGCAGATCAAGACATTGAGAGGCCTCGTGGGGATTTGAAACCCTCAGGGATTTCTGGATGAAGCCAGAAGCTGAATCCCAGCCCTGGGAACCTGGGGTGGGGGGGTGGGGGGGAGTGGGAAAGAAAGAAAAAAAGAAAGAAAAGAAAGAAAAGAAAAAAGAAAGAGAAAAGAAACCCACAAAGCAGCTTTAAAAGGACTGCAGTGCCCGAGGCAGGGCCTCCTGCTCCAAGCAGGGCTCTAGCCTGAAAACGCGAAGCAGCCCTCACACCAGCATGTGGCTGCGGTGTGGGTGCCCCCAGCACTGCAAAGATGTTATCCAAGGCTGGAGTTGAACCTCCAAAAGGTCCCTGAGCTTCTGGGGATGCTCTGTCCTTCCTGCCAGGGAGCCACAGCTCCAGCACTGCAGAGCTGACAAACACCCCCCAAAACCCAGTGGTGCTGTCATAGAGTCACAGAATGATTTGGGTTGGAAGGGCCCTTAAAGCTTACCCAGTTCCATGGGCAGGGACACCTTCCACTAGACCAGGTTGCTCCAAGCCCCATCCAACCTGTCCTGGATGTCCTGCCAAAGGGACGAGTCGAGGCATTTTGCCTTGAGCTGAGAGGGCTCCTGCAGGGATGACCAGCGCATTGGATGGGTAAAGCTGGGAGCCCTCAGGGGATGAAAGGCAACACTGGCCCCTTCTCGACCCCTCCAGACCATGAGGAGCTCTGACAGTACCTTCTGCACCGGGCCCCTTGGCCTATGGGTGCCTCTCCTCTGCGGGGGTAACTGCTGGCTGGCTCGCTCAGCAGAGCGACACAGGAGAACAGGCAGGGCAGGATAAAGCAGCAAACCCGTGTGCTCTGGGATCTGAGCTAGGACTGGTCAGCGTGAAACCTTTCCTTATTTTTGCCAGATGAACCCGGATTGTTTCCCTGATTTGGTTCCCCCTGTGGCTGCCTAAACCACAAAAAAAAAAGAGGCAAGAGAACGAGGAAGAGGATAGAGGCTGCTCCTTTCAACTGATGCCAGATTAAAGAGGTTGTGAAACAACGGCATCAGTTGAGTCTATTTGGTGCCATTGCAACACAAATGAAATAACACTGTTGATAACACACCAGTCCTGCAGCATCAAGGATTAACACTTACCTGTTCTGCTGTGCCGAGTTGCCTCCTGCTGTTACAGATTTACATTGCAGGGCTTGGCTCGCAGGCTGGAAACTTTTCAAGGCGGAGTGATTTATCTGGAAAAGACATTGCATATTCATGGACCTGCATAAATAATGCAAAAGTAATTAATAATAACCCAGTCCCTGCTCTTAACAATGCCAGGAGAAGAAATTGCTTCACTGGAGTGTCTCTTATGCCTTTTGCAAAAGACCTTTAGTCGTTAACTGTCTCAAAGAGAAAGAAGATAATAGTTTTGAAACATGGAATGGATGTTGCTAGGTCCTGGGATCTTATTGCCAGCCTGGCAATCTTTATGATTGATTGAAAGAACCCTCTGCTGGAGTCATGTTAAACCAATGCTGATTCAGCTTTTGATTTTAGTTCTAATCTCCCAAGCCTGCAGTCAAAAGTCTGAATGCAAATGGTTCAGAAACCCAGGAAGGAAACAGATAAGCTCCAAGAATTACTATCTCTAAATGCCTTGTCCTTTCAACTCGAAGTGTTGGTTTTGAGGCTTGATGCAGGATTTCCAGCTCAGGGGCTGGTATTTTTGTTACACCAACCTCACAACTGCTAGGAAAGAGGTCTCTTGTTCGTTTTCCCTGCATTACCTACATCCTTGCTATCCACTCTTCATATCAGGCCAAATTAAGACATTAGGACATAAACAGATGCCAGGATTTTCCAGATACTGGTGCTTGCTCTGGACAGATGAAACGTATCAGGTCCTGATCAGCTGCGAGTTGTACTTCAGTGGATACACTGTCACTGTGATTGCAGCAGTCAGGCTCTTGAGGTCCCCTGCCTGTGTCGTTCTGTATTAGCTCACACGGTGGCTGCACACACAGTCAGGGCCGGTTTTGAGCCATGGGCATAGAGGAGATGGGGGTAAAAGTTGCTTCTCGGCAAGGAGAAGCACAGCCATTAAATGGCCAAATAAACAAGGTGACAAAAAAAAGAGCTTTTAATCAAAAGCTCAAATGATCTCTATTTCTCTAAACCCCCCCACGATTCGGTTCCACTGAGTAGGACATTCTCATTGCTGTTCTCAGAGGAAAACCAAGCAGCTCCTATTTGTCTGACAAAGAGGTTGAAATAACTTCAATTCTCTAGTAATGGCTGCTATCAAAATACCTAAAATGGAAGGATTAATTTTTCTGTGCCTTCCCATTACAGCTCAAAATGTGGTTCCAATTAGGACTGCTCTCTACTTTTTATTATTCATTTTCTATGAACATTCAGTCACTCGGGTCCCAGGTCACGAGCTCGCTTAAGCACATGGGATTTTATAACCACGTTTAAACTTAAAACTGAATCGGGTTGGTCTGCAATGGCACACTTGGTTTCAGCCTTGCAAATATCTCACAAAAGGCAAAGATTTAGCTCAACTGCTCAAGTATTCACCAAAAGCAACACTCAGTTGTGCATTGGGTTAGAAAACTCACAGTCTGCAATCGATGCTGCTTTTATTTTGATAGGCCTTCCATAGGAGCCCAGCTGTCTCAGTTCACTACAATGTTTAAGCATATGTTTAATTTTAAGAATAGGAATAATTCCATTGATATCAATGGCATTTGCTTACACTTAGGAATATATTTTGCTGGGCTGGAGCCACGAGTAGTGCCATGTAATGCCAATAAAGTGCAAACTGCAATATTTTCCTAAGTGCTTTATGAAACCCATTTAAAAAGTAATCAATGAAGAATTGTTGCGTGGAAATGGACAGATTAATATACGTGAGATTTTGCTGCTTTCTATCCTAATACTGCCAGGAATTAACATCCACTGGAGTAATGCCAAGTGAAATCAAAAGCAAATCTGTGAAATGGAGCAAAGATGGCAACAAGTTGAATTTATTGAGCAGGAATCATCCTACTTCAAGACTGAATTGTGTACTATCGAATAACATCTACCGTCCTTACCGAAAGACACACATATGGATTAAAAGCCACTAGAACTCAAGTTCAAGTTGGGTTCAAACTTAAACAGAGGAGATTTAGGTTGGATATAAGGAAGAAATTCTTTACTGTGAGAATGGTGAGGCACTGGATCAGGCTGCCTAAGAAAGCAGTGAGTGCTGCATCCCTGGCAGTGTTCAAGGCCAGGTTGGACAGAGCCTTTATGCCACAAAACCAAGCTCCAAAGCGTGTGAGAAGTTCCACACTGCTAAGATGTGACTCTGCTGCAATCAGGTGCACTATTGTCTCACAGGGAGTGATAGCAGCGATAATGATTTAGGTTTCAGTGGGATAAGTTTCAGCATGGATAGGGCCAGCCAAAGTCCCTGAGTCACAGGCAAATCTGCATAGCCCATACATGGGGGATTATCTGTACTGCTATCGTACCTGGGTTACCAAGATCAGGGGTGGTTTGCATACATTTACATATGTGGCAACCCCACCTCCAGTTGCTGTGTAGACAGGTGAAAGCTCATTTTGCAACATTCCAACAGAACAGTTTAGTTTTGATGGAATATGTCAAGAGAGCAGCTGACCCCAAATGCACAAAAATCAGCAAAGGCCTGTAGGGACAGGCCAAGGGGAATGGCTTGAACCTGCCAGAGGGGAGACTGAGATGAGCTCTTAGGCAGAAGCTCTTCCCTGTGAGGGTGCTGAGGCGCTGGCACAGGGTGCCCAGAGAAGCTGTGGCTGCCCCATCCCTGGCAGTGTTCAAGGGCAGGTTGGACACAGGGGCTTGGAGCAAGCTGCTCTAGTGGAAGGGGTCCCTGCCCATGGCAGGGGTTGGAGCTGGATGAGCTTTAAGGTCCCTTCCAACCCAAACCACTCTGGGATTCTATGATATCTGACAGTATATTTATCCTCTATTTCTACTTGCTTTTGGACTCTTCAGTCCAGAAAACAATTCCAAACAGGATTTTTTTGGTGCTGGTCAGACTCGCCTCCTGATCTCCTGTCGTGTCCTATATGTCAGGCTATTTTTATCCTCATCTGATATTTTTCAGTGGCCTAAAGTTGTCCTGTCTAGGGCGGCATTCACCAGACAGAAGGTGGCCTCTGTCTGAGCATGCAGATGAACACCTTTCAGTGACTCTGACACCAACCTAAAGGAGCCCCATGTGAAGCAGACACAAATTTCAGCAGTGAATCGCCCTCCCTCCTATTGTACAGTGATTGTTTGCTCCAGCGAGCACATAAGATGCCTGGGCCCATCTTCTCCAGCCTGCACTTGTGCCAGCAGCTCGTATTCAGTGTGGGACAAATCCAGCTTGTGCAATGCTCTTCGTGGCAGGTCCAGCCTGCCTTGGCACGACACAGACCGTTACATCACTTGGCCAACCCTGACCTCTGTCTATAGAGTACAAGAGAAAGGTACCGTCACCAGACAGCTGCTCAATAGCCAGGCGAAATGAATTGATAGGTGCCGATTCAGCCTGCAGTGGACCAGTAGCTACATTATAATGGCAACCTCACCTTTGGTGTTAATGAGGCCCCTTCATTAAGAGCCTTGAGCAGAGGGGTCGGGGGCTGAATAGAGACAGCCTTCGTTCTCACCCGGAAAGCTGGTCCTCCTCATTCAGAATTGAAGCACGTTGGCAGGGCAGTTTGAGGACGCTTGTGCTGCCCATGTTGCATCTGCAAGGGACATGACGTATTTGTGACTATTCATCTGGCTCTTTTCACCAGCACTAAATACACAGAAAGAATAAAATAAATTTGCATTGTGTTCCCACATACGAAGAGAATTTTCCCTCTTCCTTCTGGTTTGGAGGGCTATTGCACATTAAAAGCCTTTTGCATTTTTCAGTAGCTATAATACGCTATAATTTCAATTTTCCTCAGGCACAAAAGAACTTAGTTAAGCTAAACTGTATTAGTGTGGGGCTTTTTTTTCTACCAAGTCCTTCATTAATAAGGGAACTAAAGAATTTCTGAGCTGTCTGTAATTTTTCCCAGATGCAGCTAGTAGTTGCTAGGAGTATCTTTTTGGCAATCGGAGTCTTTGGCTATTAACAATCTGGACTTTCGCTATACTGCCCTGGTGTTAAATATGTGCTGTGAATACCGTAGTGTGGAGGGTGGGCTGGAGAAGGAGGGGAAGGCAGAAAATGGGCAAAATGACATAATTTTTAGAAGAATGAATATTTTTAGGATGAAGAGCTGATTCGAAGGAACACGCTTCCCTGCAAGGATCCCAATTAGCAAACCAGGAGCTTTGCTGCACCAGAGCATTGCTGCAGAACACACTCACTCCTCAGTCACAGCTTCTCTCTCCATCACAATCTCGGTTCTCTCCCAAGCCCAGCATTGAGTCTCTGCCATGAACTGAAGACAACGAAGGCTCCTGCTGTCATACACATGCTTCATGGGAGTCGGTGAAGACCACAGTAATCATTGTGTAGGTAGCAAGAGAAAGTGGTGATGTACATCCAGGAGAGATCTTGGGGTCCTTCTATTCTGTCATATTGCACATTGACGAAGAGTGGAGGCACTTGTTTTATCAGATAAATTGCCTCAAAACAAGGTTTGTGTGTTAATCTTTAAGTCTGCAGGACTATTATCTTGGGGTTCCCAACACAAGAAGGACATGGAGATGTTGGAGCGAGCCCAGAGGAGGCCACAGAGATGCTGCGAGGGCTGGAGCAGCTCTGCTCTGGAGCCAGGCTGAGAGAGCTGGGCTGGGGCAGCCTGGAGAAGAGAAGGCTCCTGAAGGGGAGACCTGAGAGCAGCTCCAGTGCCTGAAGGGGCTGCAGGAAAGCTGGAGAGGGGCACACTGAGTCAGTCGTTGGCACATTCCCCTACTGTGGGCCAAGCCAGATTAAACACATGCCTTTGAGTCCAAGACAAGGATCTTTGACGCAAGACTCTGGAAAGAGAAATAAAAACCCTCACAACAAAAATTAGGGAGAGCTGTCATGTTTCATTTGCATATTTGAATATGCAAATAAGAGCTGGTTCTTATCCATTGGCACTGGCCCTACTGTAGATGGCAGCAACACGGCGGATCTCTGCCAGCATAGAGTGCCACAAAGACAGGCACTAATTGGATTTGCAGACGCTCTTTGCAAACCCCCGAAGTTGCTGGAATAGGTATAAAGAAGCCGGAGCTCAGCCCCCGCTGCCTGGGGTGCGAAGGACTCAGCTGACAGCTCCTCAGCTTGAGGTGGCCCTGCAAAATCAGACCTTTGGAGGAGCCTGGGTGGCTGCTGGCTCCCCCAGCACTACCTGAACCCCCCAAGACACTCCTCAGCGCTGGGCAAGGTTCTGCTCTTCGCTGTGATTTGTCTTGGGGCAGGGGGGGGAGGTTGATCAGTTACTGGGCTGGAAACCATTCAGAACTGGGAGTTGCTTGTGGAGCAAAGGCTGTTCAAAGGAATTTCAGTCCTCCAGTGTTTTCTAGGTTGAATGTAAAGAGCTACCTGTGCACATCTTCAATTACCCCAACTGGCACTACTTGTCCCAGCACAGAGCACTGGGGCGCTGGGCCGGAGCAGGCATCAGTATAACAATGCCCTTATGTCAAATGTCTTCTTTGGCACAGTTTTAGTGCCCACATATTGGACTGTGCACCTGAGGTGCCACAGAAGCCGAGGCACCTGCCTCTGGGTTTCCAATTCCTGACTTGGAAGTGTCCAAGTTCTTGCTTGCATCCCACCTCAGCTGGAGGAGCAACTTGTGTCGGAACCAGCAGAGGTAACTATGGATGCTGGAGTGGAAGGGCAGTCTGGGTGAGCACCAAAACAACCGTCGGCACCAGGCTGGGCAAAACTAAAGGCATAGAAAAAGTGCTGCTGATAGGAATTAAATTAAACCCCCAAATCTAATGATGTTTCAGCCCATGTTTAGGAAAGGGAGAAATTCAGGGTCTTGTGTGTTTGAGCAACATCTCCTGCACAAGGAGAAGATTCAATGGAGCAAGAGCGGAGTCAAATCTGGGAAAGACAGAGACCTTCCCAGGCCTGGGAGCATTTAACCACCAAGGGCTGTGATAAGAGTGAATGGGTAGGACTGGGAGGTAGAAAATAGAAGATTTAGACCTAAGAGTGGCTTGTGTGGGAATAACGTCCACAATTAAAGATCTCAATGAGAAAGAGGCCCTGGCTCAAGGGAGAAGAAAAGAAACTGTCTGAGGAGATGGCTCTTGGGACCGCATCAGACAGAAACACGGAAAATTAAACCTGGAGCACTTAAAAGAACCCCAAAACAGGCTCTTATTTTTTTTGCTGCTGTTGTTGTTGTTAACTGAAGCGGTGAAGCGTTTTGCTTTCCTAGCATCCTCTCTCAGGTTGATGAGGTAAACCGGCTCTTTAGAACGACTGGGCAACCGGTTAATCCTCGCCTGTGGCGATCAGCCCGCGGCACACAGGGCGCTAGCGGCTCACCCGCGGCTTTCTGACAGGGATCAACAAACTATTCCAAACAGGAACAGTCCACGAAGGGAAGAATTCCTCCTCGCGTCGCTTTCAAAGGAAAACCCCCTCAGGAACAGCGGCCAAACGGCCCTCGGAAGGACGGTGCCACCGTCGTTTAAGGCTCCCAAACTTGTCCTGCAGAGCTCTAAGCGAGGATAAAACAAACCCCACTTTTCAGATGCAAATTCCCCCGCTCGGAGCCGCCGGCGGGGCCGAGAACCGCGGCACAGAGCGGGCGGGTGTTAACGAGGCCTCCGCCGGCAGCTACTCTCTGGCCGGGCCGGTGGCCTCCGGGCCTGGCCAGCGGCTGACGGCTACCGCGGCACTGAAGGAATGCCCGGGGCCATTTGCATTGCAAATAGCCCCGCTCCAGCCCAGCCACCGCGATATGGGTCCATGGCGGAGAACGCCGAGCTCCGCCGCGGCGGGGATGGCGGCGGCTGGAGGGCAGCGGGGGACGGGCCCAAGAGCGGCCTGGGGGGATGAGAGGGAACGTGAGAGAAACGGAGGGAAAGGGAGGGACAAAGAGGAGAAATGGGAGAAACTAGGGGAAAGGATGGAGACTGGGGGGGAGAAGGATAGAGACCGGGGGGGGGGAAAGGATACAGACTGATGGGGAAAAGGATAGAGACTGGGGGGAAAAGGATAGAGACTGGGGGGGGAAAGGATAGAGACCAGGGGGGGGAAAAGGATGGAGACTGGGGGGGAAAGGATACAGACTGATGGGGAAAAGGATAGAGACTGGGGGGGAAAGGGATAGAGACCAAGGGAAAATTGAAAGAGACGGGGAAACCAAAGGGAAAATAGAAACTGAGGGAAAAGGAGAGAAACGGAAATAGAATGAGGGAGACCGAGGGCAGTTAAGAGGAAGGGAAAAATGAGGAAGAACATGGGAGAATGAACGGGGAGTGAGGGAGAACAGGGTAAGATTAAAGAGAAATGGAGCGTTGGGGGGAAATGGACAGGAAGGGAAAAGACGGGGGGAAACGGAGCTAAAATGGAAGGAGAGAGGCTGCGGGAGGCCAAGGCAAACCGCGGGCAGGCAGCGCCACCGGCTCCCTGCCCAGCCCAGCTGTTCGGGACTGCCCTGCCCGCTGTGCCGGGAGCTGCGGTTTCCCTTGTTCCCAGCTCATTTGTGTAGGGAATTAACACACGGGTGAGCTCCGCAGCCGCCAGCGGCGGGGAAGCGTGGGCCCAGGGAGGGAAAAGGGGCGGGTTGGCGCAGCCGCCAAGTACAACAAGGCCTGAACACTCGGTCCCGGTGCCGGCCGTGCGGCGCGGGGCCGGGGACAAACCACGGAGGGCATCGGGGAAGGGGCCACGGGCCCGGCCACGCCGCAGCGTAACGGGCGGGGGGGGGGCCATGGGAGGTGGGGAGGGCCCGCTCCCTCCCACTCCCCGCTTGACCCAGCGCAGGCCCCGCCTCTAACCCCGCCCCTTCGGCAGCCCGCCCGCGGCCGATTGGGTGTCGCTTCTGCCCGTCAGGCGGAGGCGGGGCGTGACGGCTGCGCCCGGGCGGAAGCCCCGCCTCCAGGCGTGTGGCGGCGCGGCCATTGGCGGCGGGCGGGTGCCTCTCTGCTGGCGTCGGTTTCCGGTTCCGCGGGGCGGGCGCCGGGGGGGTGGCGGGGCTGCTGCCTGTGAGTGACACACAATGAGGCGAGCGGCGGCGGCGGGGCCGTGAGGGGCCGCGACCGAGGAGGCGGCGGCGGCCGAGGCGGCGGGGAGGGGGGTGGGGGGGGACGGACGGAGGAGCGGCCTCGCTCGGAGACGAGGTTGGAGACGGGGGAAAGAGACCCCCCCCCGCCGACCGGCCAGCGTAGATCGCCGCGGCGGGAGCGAGCGAGCGAGCGGGGCCCGCGGTGCTGCGCCCAGCCATGGACAATCAGGTGAGGGAGCGGCCCCGCCGTGCCGCTGCCGGCGGGAGGCCCCTCGGCGCCGCCCCTACCCCCGGGTGGGGGGGGAGTCGGGGGGGGGGGCACGAATGGGGAGGGGCCGGGCTCACCATGCACCGGGGAGGGAACCCCAGTCGTCAGGGGGGAATGGAGGGGTGATTCCCCCGGTGGTGCTGGGGGGCATCGCCCCGCTTTGGGGAGGCACCCCCGTCCTCACACCCCATCCTCACACCCCCTTATAGAGGGGGGGGGTTGTTCAGCCCTCGCCCCTTCCTGGGCGGCCGCGCTGCAGCCTCGCCCGCGGCGGGGGGTGGCAGCAGCATTTCCCGCAAATTCCTGCCCGGGCTTCTTTAACGGGAGGGGTGGTGCCGGCCTCGGGTCGTCTTCCCCCCCCCCCCCGCACACACACACCGCGGTGCAAAGTGTTAATGCCACCGGCGGAGTCCTCGCCGCCCTGCGGGGAGCCGCCCGGTAGCTGGCGGGTGGCCGCGGTGCCGCAGCGGGCGGGGATGGAGGCTGGAAGTTTACCTGAGGTGATGCCGAGCGGGCGGGCTCCGGTCCTTTTGTGTGCGGGAGCAGGTTACCTGCGAGCGGGGCGCGGGAGGGGAGCCCCGGCGGCCGCGGCATCAGCCCCTCGGCAGGGCGATGGGGGGAGCTGGTTACGGCTTTCAGGCAATTAGCACATCAAACAAAAAACCGGCGCAGCCTTCCGAGTGTTTGTTGCGAAGTTGAGGAGCAGACGCCTTTGTATTATTACAAATTGTTTGAATAGGAGCCTGATTTCCCTTTGTTGAGAGACACGCTTGGAAAAGAAAACCTCCATTTTCAGCGGAGCAGCTTTGGGTGTTTGTTATGTTGAGAGATCTTCTTTTCAAATGTGTTTCAACTTCTGGCTTAATTCATTGCGATTGTTAATGGGACCGATATGTGAGGAGTGTGGCGAGTACAACTTTCACTCTCAGTTAAACACTTCTCTTTTATCTTTAATTTTGTTCCCTTCCACACAGCCCCATCTGTTTCTCAGCTAAAATTTCTCAGCCGTTTCAGCTAGAAAGGCAGATTTTGTAGCCTGACAGTCATTTGCACCTCTCTGGAGAGGGGTAGTAACTGGCAACGGTAGCAGGATTTAAAGGGTAATTATGGAATCGATAACATGAAGCTGCAGAACAGCCTGGCTCCGTTATGTGAACGCTTGCGTGAACGCTGTGGGAAGTATCCCAGATAAAACAGGCCTGCAAGCCCCCTCCTCCGTGAGCTTAGGATTTAGGCAGGCTGTCTTCACATAATGCTCTTCCACCAGAGGAGAGGTTGCTGTGCTTGGAGGGAAACACACCTTGCCTCTTTTCTCATTCCTTAATACACCATGAGAGACCAGACGGCCTCATACCTTCATTTTTAGGCGAGATGGGGAGCCAGCGTAGATAAGCCCTAAAGCAGAGAATGAGGAAAAATGGCCTTCCAAGAGAACTTGCAGAGGAAGGTAACCTAAAGAAATGTGGTGGTAACACCAGTGAAGCAATTAGATGAGCTTGTCCCTGAGACTTAGAATTGATGTGTTGGATGGCAGCTGAAGGTATTTTGCTATAAATATAACTGCCTGAAAGAGCGCGTTAAGGCTTATGGTTGAAATTAGAACTGGACTGCAATTTGGGAGGTCGAGCTTTGATGCCTGGTAGTCTGTAGACCTCCTGTGTGATCTTTTTACAAAGGAAAGAATACGGCGATTGAGGCGCTTTTTCAGAAGGTATTAACCATGCTCTGAAAAATCACATTTCCAGCCAGTGTCAGGTGGGAGATGCAAAAGAATTTCTGAGCGTTAATTGTAGCCATACTCCTTGTTGCAGTTCCTCAATGGGAAAATGAGGGTAATACTTATCCTAAATGGCTGTGTAGAGCTCGAGAAGCTTTCTCTTTCCCTCTGCATTGTCTAACATCATGCCCTTGGCTTGGCTCAGTGTCCACCTGTAATGTAGGTAATGACAAATAACATTGTCTCTCCCACTGGTAATTTGAACTGCTGGAAAGAACAAAACACTTATTTTCAAGTCTTAGGTGAAGAAGGAGGGGAAGGACTAAAAACTACCAGCTTTTTTTTATAAGCTTCCAGTTGCTGAAGCTGGATTTTGCTGAGTTTAGTTTGCAATCACTGAGCTCCTGGTTTACTTTGTACAACATGTTCCTAAGTGTTCGGATACCTTTGGTGTTATGCCCTGTCTCTGCAAATCTTGCCCTAAGATTTGCTTGCTTTAACTTGTGTCTGAATCACGTTTGCCTTTCCTCTGTTACATATGTTTAATCCGTTTGCTTTCTTCTGACTGTGCAGTCTGCAGTAATACAGGGATCTTCACAATTAATTTAATCTGGGTTTTAAGACATTTAATGTGATTCTTGTGCTTTGAATGAGACACTGAATACACCTTCTCTGTTATTCAGTGATTAGAGGAGGATTTGTGAGCCCAAATCAGAATTAGGTTATTTTAGTGCTGGGTAGTGTGCAGACATGCTACATGGTAGCTTCGTCTTTGAGAGTGTGTTAATAAAATACATTTAAAAGACTAGAAGGAGCATCATAGTTTTATTCTAATGGATTACATATTCTAGAGAATATTATAAACCACCAATTCAGGATCCAATTTTTCATGTTTTAACATTAATTTTCTGTCAGTGCTGTGAATTTTATAAGCTGTGAACATCAAGTTCTGTCTCTGACACTTTCCAGAAATAAAGATTCTGCAATTAGGACTTAGCTGACAATTTCAGTAAGTGAGGCAGATAAACCTATCCCTCTCCTAAAGCTGTTTTCCCTGCAATGCTAATATTAGGAAGAAAATAGGTATGAAATGGTGGTAGGAGCTATTTTTATGATACTGTTTCTGTTGACAGCCCTGTAGTTTTGAGTATGAGATTAATCTCTCCATGCAGGCTGTTGTATTCCTCCCCTGCAGTGATATTGTTGGGGCTCAGCATTATGCAGAACATGTAAAGTATTTCATTTTGCTGATGGTTTTACCTCTGTTCTAAACCAGTGCACGGTTCAAGTAAAACTGGAGCTGGGGCACCGAGCCCAACTGCGGAAGAAGCCCACCACCGAGGGCTTCACTCATGACTGGATGGTGTTTGTCCGTGGCCCAGAGCAGTGCGACATCCAGCACTTTGTGGAACGCGTGGTCTTTCGGCTCCATGAGAGCTTCCCC